CGTGAGCCAGGCTCCTCAATTCGCAAATATGTATTACGAGAGGCGAAAGGGCAAGTATTTCGGAGATGGTTTGGAAAAGTACGAGCGTATACTTCGAACGTATATCCCTGCTTCGTATATTCTCGGGATATTCCTCGCATAAACCCTATAAGGTACATGCTGTTGTTGCGAAAGAAAGAAAGAGAGTTTTCGAAGTGTGAGGAAATATACGAGCAGCGAACCGAGTTTAGGCAGTCGAATATATATATTTTTTGGATGGCTGCTCTCTCTTTCTTTCACCGCGTGATCGATGAGGCAACTGAAACGAGGTGGAACTCGGAAAAAACACGCGTCACGTCGCTTTTCTCCTCCCCTTCCTTTTTTTACTATTTCGGAAATTACCCGCTATTAGCGTACGCGTACGGTAATTTACCTTGCTACTAATTACTGCAATATTCTCGTGAAAACGCTGACGTTCTCGTTACGATAGCGAATGCATAAGTCACGAAGCGCGTCCGTGCCGGGTGTCCGGTAGTGTCTAATAAACGAAAATTTATCCTCGCGCGACGCGCCGGTTTATTTGCCGGCAATTTTACCCAGCATCGTCGTGTCGCCGTGCCCAGACAAAACGCATGTATATTATTCGGCTTGTAATTATAATTTGCGAATTTGTGCAGGGTCAGCTGAACTCGTCGGTAATTCCTTGGACACCAAGAATTATTACACTGAGTACTCAACGTGCTTCGTATTAATCGTTAGTTTTAATTATGGGTACTAAGTAGGAAGAACGAGGTTTCTCAAATGCAAACGTAAAATAAGTCAGCTCTTAAAATTAAAAAAACATTTAAATGTATTGATTCCATTGTTTGTTGCAATTAGTTATAATAGTGTTAATTATAAGTATTAAATAGGAAGAACGAGGCTTCAAACGCAAACATAAAATGAATTAGCTCTTAAAATAAAAAAATGTATTAAATGTATCGATTGCCCCCCATTGTGAATTAATTATATAATATAGATTATACTATATTTTTATGTGAAAAGAGAAAGAGGATAAAATCCTTTTTGTAAGTGTCTTTAAATAGACTTTTGCGCAAGTAGCGCGGATTTAGTTTGGCAATGCGTCGAGCTTAAAATCGTTGTGGCCTGGCGGTGGTTTTTATCCGATTTTATGCGGCGAATCTTCCCACGTGAAAAACTGCTGGTTAAAATAAATGAACGTTAAATCTACTAAAGGGATATAAGATTATTCGGAACACTGGGCTTTTAAAGCCCTGCGTGATTGTTATACCATTTCACGTCGGTGATGTGCTTTCAATTCGCAAAAAATACATTTATTACGTTCGCGTCGTCCGAAATGTCACGGTGAATATATCAGTCCGTCCAACAAATAATATAATTTTTTATTACCGAACACATTGAATTTTATGACCGCAAAACCTGCAAAATTTTCATAAATTAATAGAAATTATATTGAAAATCTAATAATTAATAAAATGAAGCTAGCAAACAATGAAAGATGAGGTATGTATACATATACCAGAAAAGGCTTATTAAAAAAACAAATTAATATAAATTGTCAAATTAATTATTCATTGAATTGAAAGAGATGATGAATTTTTTATAATATATATTTAATTAAATTTATCTCTATAATTTCTTAAACTTTTTTATTCATATATTGTACTTATTATATTTTATGCGTTCTTATATTTTTAATTAATAATATTTCACAAACGATTCTCTTAAATCTTATGGCACATTACGGGAACATCCACGCTGGATCAAAATTTATAAGTGTCTTTCATCATAGTTTAGTGGCTAATCGGAAATGTCCAAGGGAACGTGTAACGTAATCGCGTTACACGTGATAATGGCCGCATTGGCTGCCAAATACCAATTAAACTTTTCCAACTACTTTCGTAACTTGAATGAAGGCTTGTGTTTATCCAACCATTGTCAGCGATATAAATTACAAGACCAACGCGATGATGATGCGGGCTATCTATCGTGAGCGCTTTATAGTTTCATCTTTTTCAAGCTAATAGATACTGATTAAACTTTCCTTAATTTCAACATACGGCTATCTCGGCATTATATGTCTTATTTACAAGATTGAATAATAAAGCAACTCGGCGAAGTTTATTATTGGATATATATTGGGGTTTCTTAAGACGAATAAGAAGCGACATAAAGGCCAACAAGACAAGCTTATACAAACTTTAATAACGTAGTCAGCATTTTTAAAAGTGAAGAAAACTTCGTAAAGATTCTTGTGCAAAATTAAAATTATCTCCATTATCTTTTCTTATCGTTGCCTCTTATATACCATTAAAATATCATGCTGAGCATATTTAAAAAATTTGATAGAGTCACATACATTAGGAAAAAAAATTTAATTCCTTTAACAAAACTGTTTAGTAGAGGCATTTTTTAATAACCAAGCAACAACAACCAAATATTTAAGTTATATAATAAAAGATTTGGTTGTTTCTGGTCAATACACTTTTTAACTTTTTAAATAAAAATATTTCTTTATTCTCTAATTAAGCAGTTTAGTTAGAGTATAAACAAATATTTTGGTTCGGTTTATTTTAAATTTTACAGAACAAAACAGTGTAATTTACTGTTATACTAGGAAAAATATTTTGCTAATAACAAAATATTTGATTAAAATATAAAATATTTAACCGCAAACTAACCTGTTTTATTACTTTGTTTACTTATAAATTAAACTATTTAATTGGTATAAACAAGTATTTTTGTTATTTAAAAAGCTGAAATGTATTGAGCAGAAACAACTAAATTTTTTATTATACAACCAAAATAATTGGTTACTGTTAAAAAATACTAGTTTTGCCGAAGGCGCTATATTTTTATTTCTAACGTATAACTCTACAAAAATTATAAGAATTTATGAGAATTTTTTATTTTTTATTCATTTTTTTCTATAATTTAATTTACTAATTTTCCTAATTCCGAAGAAGAGAACAAAGTTTGTACGTAAATTCTTTGTCATCATAGTTTCTGGTTTTCAACTTTCCGTTTAATAATAACATCGTTTGCACGTAGTAGTGACATTTGTTAAAAAAAAGAAAGAAAAATAACACAGTTTCAAACAAACGACCGCGATTGTTCATGCGACGAGATTCCCACGAAACGACAATTGAAATTTTTTGCGGGCTATTCGACAAAGGCCATATTTATTATCTCGTTAATTTTAATCCCCCGACCACGCTGTGTGACCCAGTATCACATACACCTCAACGACAATGATTTACGGCGCTTTTCCGGTACAATAAAGCAGAGATTTGTACGCACGCGCACACATACATGCGCGCAATATGCGCGTATCTACTCAGCAAAAACGAAAACCGTGTCTACTTTTATTTTGACCATTTCATTCGTCCGTACAGAGTGCTTCAAAATTACCGGATGTCATTTTCGTTGAAGATTTTTCGATCTGTGAAAATGTGGTAAGAAATGTCGAATGTCTGCATTTTTCGAATAACTAATTGAGCATAAAGAAATTTCGACAAATTCTCTTTCTCTCTCTATAAGAGTCTAAGAAGAAAAATGACAAAAGACTAATATGCACATAGTTAATAAAAATACGCATTTCGCGCATATCATTTACTATGAATATTCTTGATTAATCTTGAAACAATAAAACACGTTTGAGCTAGACTGAAATTCACTGGTATCGCAAAGACAAAGCAGATAGAGAAGCCTTTATGGACCTCGGACCTCCGCAAAGATTATTATAGTCATTGTTCAACGACGGAGAGTTCCTTAGCTGGTTCCCGCGGGCAAAACCGAGTATCGTACCATCTAAGCTCAACAAGTTGATAATCTGCATCACCGCTGTACATCAACTTCGGACCTAAGCGCTTTCAGTGGGTACATTAGCATCATGTTTAATATACGAGTGAATTGAATAAACAATTACCTATGTTTGCACGTAATATGACTTTGAGCATAAATTAAACCGACAGTTAAAGCGAATTTTCTCCCTAAGATAACGTAAGAGGTAAAAGCTGCATTTATTGCATTCCAGTGAGAATTGGCCTTTGCGCTTTCTGAAGATCGAGTTTCTTTACAAAATCACCGTATTACACGAGAAGAATTGTCAAGATTAGCTTTCATGAGATACCCTGGGACCGATTTTGTAGTCTGCGCTATTCAACGCTATTATTACTGCAACGGAGATGAATAGGCGTCTGATATTCTCAGCATTTTGTTGAGACTAATTCTTTATATGCTTAACTTTTGGCCTCTCTACTTCTCTTAAAGCATCGGTCAACGTCACTAGGGAGAGTCACGAGTAAGATTGACGAACATCTTATTCCCTTGGCGCGCAATGTTCGCAACTATTATATAATGTTCTATTTAAGATTCGCTGCCGTTGTTCATCATAAGGCCCGCGAAGCAAAAAGTCGGAATTGCGAGATCGATCAACACTCTGGATAATGAAAGATAAATCCGACAAAAATATATGAACTACTTTTAAGTGAGATTCAGCATTATCCGGCACAATCCGATTAAAGGTCTAAAAGATTTCACGGAGATATAAAATCGAAACGATCGAGCTGAAAAAAAAAAAGAAATCCGACGCGCATTATGTCGATCGGAATTCGACGTTATTCGGCTCTCGACGATATTATTTCCACGGACTTAATCACTAACGATCGCGTGGCCAATAAATTGTCGATAATTTGCTTTAAGCTCCTCACGAAATTATCTATATCTGCTTTCGCCGAAGTTACTAGATTACTCCCCCGCGCACATACTCGGTGTCTCCGCACTCTTTCTTCCGTCTTCGCAAGCTCTTTAACCCATCTAGAACCAATTTTTCCCCGAGCTAGAATTTTATCTTTTTTTTCCTCTTTGTAACTTTTTAATATCTCAAATATCCTGGAAATTGAGGCTCAAGTGGAAATCATGTTTGCGGAAAGATATCGATTTTTGTCTACTTAGCGCTTAGTAGGTATATGTTCCACTCAATCATGCGATTTTTTCAGGTCAATTTTACGAAAACATTTCATTACAGATAATGGGCAAATGGTACGTCGTAGAAGTGCTGCAACACAAGATCGACCCCACAAAGCCAGTGATGACCAGCAATGTCGTTGACTCTTGTCCGATTGTGAAGTTGAAGCCGTTTGAACATTCTTCGTTGAAACTATGGTGGAGTGAGGAATCTGGAGACCTGGAATATACCTTCCGGATACCAAATATTAGCACGAAAAAAGGCTTATGGCGAAACATGTACTTGCAGAACGGTAAATTTTCATATTATTTTGATTCTCGTATTTATATGTATATATATGTATATATATTTTCGCTGTCTTACTTTTTAATTTTGAAATATCTTATTATCGCATGGAAAGAAAGGTTTTGCTAAAGTATTTAAAAATTTAGCTAGATACAGATCTAGAAATAATTTTGTTGAACTATCAAAACAATTATTAGGACGCTCAAACTGGTTCAAAACTTTTTCTAGCACTGCTCATCATGCTTGTGCGTCCTATACACACAATTATTTCAATCGTTCAAAGTTATTTTCAGATTTGTATCTAGTTCAATTTTTACACTGAGAAAAATGTACTAAATTTTAATAAATATTTATTTGAATAGTACCAATCAACATTTACTTACAGTAAATATTTGCTCAATAAAAAATTATAGTTAAATCAAAATGGTTCATGTACTAAATAAATTGTTTTTATATTTAAGCAAAACTTATTTCTGTGCGATGATGAGAAAACATTTCTTTTCATAAAGAATAGTTCTTATTACGTTCTAATAGTTCTCATTTCAAATAGTTTTTATTACGGTGTTAAATAGCATCTAATTGTGAGCATAATTCAACAGTGCAACATTGCGATTTGATTAACAAGTAGACGATGGTTATTCTCGGTTAGAATACGTGCATTAATATTGAAATCAGATGCATTAATTATCGGTGATGCAAATTAATGCGTTTGTATTGTACATTTGACATCCGCGCAATGAACCCTGTAAACTAGAATCTGATGCAAAAACATATTTGCATAAGGAGCAATTGCACAAAACGAGACTTGTAATAACATTTGGCGAAATTAGGATAACACGGTTTCACATTATAACTTCTTTTAGACAAATCAATTGAAATCGAACGGGTGAGTGGGTGGGCTTTACTTCTCTATATCTTAATCGAATCTTTCAGCATTCCGATTTTCTCGATAATTTCGAAAGTATCTCGACCGTTCGTTCCAATTATATGACAAGTTACGGCTCTCATCGCGATTGATTTTCCATGTTACACAGTTAGCCGAATTAAGAAATCTTTCGTGATAAAACTGGGATTCTTAATTTTTCAATCACCCTTGAGCAGCGTTTTGCCCAGACGATCTTTTGCCAAGTGTCTCTTTAGAAACGAAGAAATAAAATTACGAAGGACTTTTCAAAATTACAAAAAGGAAAAATGACGAGCAATCTCTACGAAAAGCGTATAATAATTTTAACATACGATTCACAACTTTATTATATCTCGAATAGTTTTCCGTGAATGGACAAAATTAAAACTCGGTTTTCGTTGGAATTTTCCAATTTGTCTCAAATTGTGACGAAAACGTGTTGCGCTTTTGCACGTCTCGCATTAGTATTCCTTTCTCGTTCTCTTCCTCTTCTCTTTCTCTCTCTTGCATGCTTCGAATTTTATCGATTTATTGTATAATAAAATAAAATAAAAATTACAAAATTTTGAAAGAAATATGTAACTAACTGATAATAAATCCGAATTATCTGTCTATTGAAACGTTACTTTTTTTATAAGTTTAAAAAAACGACTTGATGATCTCTTCTTTAAATATGAATATCGGAAGAAAAATCATCAATGTGAAAGGATTAAAGAAGTAATCAAAATTTTTGATATTATGTTATTGAAAAATTAGAATTTTCATTTCGTATGTTTATTAGAGCCTCTCTGTTTCAATAACAAAGAGCTAGGGAACCACATACATCCAGTACGTAAACTTTGGTACGGAGTTGAAAGTTCTTTCGAGGGTGATTATCATAAGCTATTCCGAATAACCGATCATGCCACGCTTACCGGACGGGTGTGGTCGAAAGTTTCAGGCAACTTCTCACAGAGAAGTAAATTGGATTAACTATTCGGTCGGGTAGATCACGCCTAAAGTTGCATTGGCATTACGAACGTGCCATTAGGCCGGCGGCTCTTAAGATAGATATGCGCTTTGAATGAATCGTCAAACGAAGACAAACACCTGCAAGGAAATAGGAACATTTCTCTATCATGGAAGAATCAATCGGAATTTATTCCTCGACGAGATTTGCATCGCGAATCTCGAGAGAAGCTGTAAACATGAAGGAAACGAAAAAAGGAAGACTATGAAATCAGGACAATATAGTATCTACATAAAAAAGGATCTAGTATTCTAAATCAAGCGTGCTTCTTTTTATGTACGGATTTCTTCAATTCTGGTATTGAAAGTTAACACAATTAGGTAATTATTAAAATAATGAAAGAATAAGGTAATTATAATAATAAAAAGATTAATTAAAATGATTATAAATCGGACAAAAGAACTAATTATATCTGTTCAATGCTTTAGGAAAAAGAAAATTACAACAAAACGAAGTAATATTATGGTAAAAGTATTGCAATAGACTGATGATTGAATAGTAGAAAAAAATAAAATAAAATGAATGGAAACAGGTTATTGCACTCGTTCGGTATTCAGACTGACTGATAAAGATTTCAAAAAGGAAAGAGATTAAATTGGTTCAACAAAATTGTTTGGCTCGCTGGATACTTTCTTCAACTTCGCCCTCTTTACTATGTTTGCTTCCATTGGGGGATTAAAAGCGTAGAGATTGAAGTTTGTTAAGTGAAAAGCAGAATGCTGATTTCTAAGATCTGAACGAAAACACGAAGGTAATATTTCTATAAGGGAAACAATTGTTAATAATTAATTACTATTATATATATTATTTTAAAATCTATGAGCATCTTGGATATATCTACCTTTTCTAAATATAATATATTACATGTGGACCTGTATGATATATCCTTCGAGGGGGTAATCACTTAATGTAACCGTGAGAGTCCCTGAAATCATTATAAAATTCATATAAAATTCCGATGTTTACATATGCAACTATAAGAAATAATTGTGTATAATATTAGATAAATTATTTTATCAAATGACTTCATATATAGTGAAGAAAATTATTTGTCGTCGGCTGAAATCATCTGAAATCAAATGAAATCATGTAATCTGTGGAACAATATTTCAACTAGTGGTTACCTTCTCGTGATCCTTTCTCCAACCAAATTGAAGTTGGTGAAATCACTCAATAGTACAAGAAAACTTCGATTATCGGAGCTGGAGGATTCGATGTAGTTATTATCAGCACAAAATGTCCAGATAAAACGAACATAAAGGAAATATTAAACAAGATAATTCTCTCCTTTCAGATGGAACAACTAAATCGCGTATCAATGTAACTCGGTAAGACACGATTCGCCAACGACAATTAAACTCCCAAGACGCGCCCGGCTAATGATCTTAATGAATTCGTGGAATCGTCCGTGTGATTATCGGTTAACCGTCAGCCGAGCCGGGATAGGATTCAGCCGTCGTAAGCCGGCAAAGTCGAGACATCCAATTACGACTGCCGGCTGTCGGAGAATGACGGGGGACGCGAAGAATTCGTCGCTAGGCGCTTCTCCGAGGAGAAAGCGCTCGTCGACGTGGAAAATAATTTTTCAAAAGTCGCACGGCCATCTGCTCTTTCTAATTTCTTTCCGGCCGACTCTGCAAGTTCTTCCCTTCCTGCTCTTCTTTCTTCTCCCCCGGGCAACCACTCTACCGAGTAGCTTGTCTGACGTTATTCTTCGCTATCGGCCAACAGCAAATACGGGATTCTGTATAATAGCGCGAGCAGATGCGGAATGTAATGCGGATTGAGGTTTCTCCGGGATTTCGTTTCAGTTCGCCTGCCGGAGTATACTAATCCGAAAATCAAAAACGATCCGAACTGCCGAGGATGATATGCCGCGGCATCGTGAAACTGCAAGAGTGCATATACCCGATTGATGCACGAACGTTGTTTGTGAAGTCGCTGGAACTTTAGGAAACGACAGCTAACGAGTTCGCTCTCATACTAATCCTCTCGCGAATGAATCTTCATTCGGGAAAACGACGTCTCTCTGAAATGAGCGACTTCACGTACCTTTAAAGCAAGAAGATTGTATAAAGCTGGGTTGTTCCACCTTCCGATATAAACTTTAGCTCACTCTCTAACTCTCTTACTCTCTTATGTGCGTGCTCTTACGCTTTTACTCTTTTGTTTATCCATTAGATAAATTATTATATAGTTTATCCGAAGATGGAATAACCGATCCTATAATGTCCGTTTTTATCAATGTAGTTCAATTTTAATCTTGGTTCAACTAACTCTTCATCTTTTTCTAGTTTTAAGAATGAAAAAAAAATGGAGAGTAAGTTGAATCGAGATTAAAATTAATGTACATTGGTAGAAATGGCCATTAGTTTTCTGCTTTTAAGATAAAAGTGATAAATACACGTCGTTTATAATCGACATGCAACGTAGATAAAAGTGCTCTAATAAAATTGAAAAAAAAAAGAGTAATTATTAAAATTTATTCCTTTATCTCGTTATTCACCTGTGTTAAATTCAATATAATAGACTTTTATAATAATTCAATATAATAGACTTTTACGAAAATTTTAAAAATTCAAATATATTATAAAAATCTCTTCTTTGACCAATTTAGAATCGATTTTTCATTAGTGAAACCTTAATTGATCATAAATCTTCTTTGTAAAGGTTCTAATTATCTCTTTCAAGCAAGAATGCATTTCTATTAAATTACTGGAGAGCATGTTTTAATTTTGACGTTTTACCATTAGAAAGTACTCGTTAAACCCAATTTTGGCCTAGTATTTCAATATTGAGGCACCAGAAAAATTCCGACGTAATAGAATTCCTAGGAAATATCTTTCTATATCATAGAGAAAAAAGAGGAGGAAGCGAGAAACAATAAAATCTCGAAATATTTTTACTTGCATATACAAGTGCGACAATTGATTATTTTTCACATATAAATATGGAAATAACTAAAAGCATGTACGTGTGTGAATGATAAAATTTACCATATGGTTAATTAAATTTGGAGACAGCGTGCTGGATAAAAAATAAAAAAATAATAAAAAATACATGTCAAGTATTTATCTGACAAACAACGGGCTTT